AGAAAGAATTTGGATGCAAAAGCAGCTGCCAAAGCAATTTGCGACGTTGAAGGTGAAGGTACGGTGGCACCGCGAACTGCACAGAAATGGTTCAAGCGTTTCAAAAATCAATAAATTTTCATAATAGTCACAAAACCAGATCAAAAACACAAAAAAAATATATAAAAAAATCATTATTTTAACACGGCGCACGAACTTTTTCCTCAACCTAATACTACTGCTGCAATAGTTTCTTGAAAAATGTACGAATGTGTCTCGTGTACTCTTTTATGACTGACAGAAATTTGTTCTTATGTCTGTCTCATTAAAGTTTCTCATTGCGTTTGTGTTCTCGGGATAGTATGACTGCACGTAATGATTCACCCAACCCCACACTGACTCTATAGCATATCGCATCATCCAAGAATACAGGAGACAAGCATGGTAACAAATTCCTGTTATACACTATAAAAAATACGTGTATTAAGACACAATCAGAATGCCTCATGGTGTCTTCGTATCTAAATGTCTCAATGCCTGAACTAATGCGCCTTATTGTGTCATGCGTCGTACGTCTCGACCTGTTTGTTTTCTATTAATGTGACTTTGTGTGTCGATGTGGCGTATATCTTCCGTACAAGAAAAGTGGTTAATGGCAGTGACAAAGTAGTGGATCCAACCGTCATGCGACCGGACATATGTTTTGAGTAAAAAGAACATTTTTTCTGAAAAAAAGAGCTGCTACAGAAAACTTTGTTTTTATAGCGGCTGTACGTATCTCATACTTAGATCAAAAGATATTGAATAAATTAATTTTTGGCTATTGTTATATATTACAACTAGCCAAACTTCAAATGAAACTTAAAACATCGACTATCGCTCCATAGTGCATCCTTGCTTGTGAGTGCTAGAGTTTTTCAGGCAGCAGATAACAAAGAATTTATTCAATGTAAAAGCAACCGCACGTTTTAACCGTTTCAGCCCGACTTTCTAACCGTCGGACAGGGTAGCGCTCGTCTACACTCGTTCGATCTCTTGGCTTTAGGAATTTATAACCGCGAACGATCTTCCATGGCTTTTGAATCCAAGATAACACTCACGCATCCCCTCGGTCGCTAGACTAGGAACTATCTAAAATATGTTATGATAGGTTATCTATATTCTGTAAGTTTTACTATTTATAATTAACTTTTTTGGCGACATCTGTCTCAGGAGTACAGAAAAAGTTTGCGTTGCTTTTTTTTCTCTCTGTATCGATAGATATTTCAGGGCATCTCTTTGAATATTTTCTCTCTCGTCGCTGAAAAAAATTTTCTATTTTTCTCTCTTGTGGTTGGATTATTCATGGAATATCTCTGACAGCCATTTTTCAGTATTTTACGCACAGACAGACATACACACAGATAGACAGACGACCATTTGTAAGACCTTAGACTAAAGTCAAGGGAATACCCTGACTCATAAAACGTCGGGTTGTGAATCATGCTTTAAAAAATAAATGCAACCTGACGTCAAAATGACGATTTTTGACGTTTTTGACGTTCGGATGAGTCATCTGTAGCGGTAGTAACGTATTTATTCACGAAAGTGAGGGGTCACGATATGCTAGGACTAGACGTTCTACAAGTGAGACCTAAGTCGCTAGTGTCATTGTGAATTGACGTTGATTGTGGCAACTTAGGCCTAGCTTTCAGTCCTAGCATACAGTTTAATTTATTTAACGAGGATTGTAATATACAAAAAACTTTTTCTCTCTCTACATACCACTTTTTCTCTACATACTACTTTTCCTCTCTACATATAGAGAGGAAAAGTTTTTTGTATATTACAATCTTCGTTAAATAAATTAAACTATATGCTAGGACTGAAAGCTAGGCCTAAGTTGCCACAATCACCGTCAACTCACAATGACACCAGCGACTTAGGTCTCACTTGTAGAACGTCTGCTGACCACATTCTCTAACGTAGAACCTTGAAGTGGTATCAAATGAAAGAGTGCATCGAGTTCTATATATTTTGATGAAGAAATATTGATTATTAGGTTTTCTAGAAAAATCGGGTTTTCCAGAAATCTGTCGCAAAGCCCTGAGCTGTAGCATAATATTTTTTCGTCGAAATATATAGAACTCGGCGCGCTCTTTCATTTGATACCAACTTCAAGGTTCTACATTAGAGAATGTGGTCAGCAGACGTTCTACAACTGAGGCTAAATCCGCCGGAAAATGCATTTTTCTGTTGTGAGGGTAAAATGACTGTGACTATAATTTTTTTTTCTTCTTACAAGGCTAGAGGCTTGCGGTTTTCACTATTCTGTTCTGCTTACTGAGTTCTATAATACGAGGTAAATATCGTCACTGACGTCAAAGGTCGATGTAAATGGCGGTAGGCTGTATGAACCTATCCGTCGATGCCGAAAGCATCACTTTCCAGTAATAATATCCGAAAAAGTAAGTGTTCGCACTTTCAACTAGAAACGAATTACCAGCCATTTTGTAGAGTTTTGAAAGAGCTTTTTGCTGATACGTTGCTGAGACATTACATCATAGAACAGAAAAGCTATCGTGGACTATGCTGAAAAGATCATTTTTAACAGTAATATTCCAAAAACCAGACTACTATTCAATAGTATATAGATAGTTTTGTTCACCGTTTAAAACTCCACCGAATGGTATATAAGACTTTCCTTCAAACTTGTTTCATTCTGAGAGAAGTACGAAAAACACATCGCAGTGGGTTCACCGAGCTATTAGTAAAAGCTAATCGATTTTCTCACAGATATCAAGTCCGAAGAGAAACCAGGGGTCTGGGACACCATAAAATCACATGCTCTTCATCTTAGACACATTTCGAGAAGATCTGAAATGAGGTCGAATCTCGTTCTTATTGCACCTCGTCCTTTCAAATATTTTTTTAAAAATTGGAGAGGATCACCTCCTCTCCCCCTTCGGGACGGCTCTGCTCGTGCGGACTGCTAGTTTTTAGTTGGCAGAGGTGCGCACCCGTGCAAGCTATTGAGATAAGATAGTCTATTTATGTTAAATTCAGATAGACAGTATTGTATTTTGATATTGTGCTAGCATCACTCAAAACCAAGCCAACACGACATTATCTGTTTCTGAACAATTTTAGTTATTGTCATATCATGAAACATGTATTATGGAAAAGTTTTTCCAGTATTTTCAGATAAAATTATCTATCATGGGTAATGCTATCAAGCCGTTTTGGAATGGTATCACCGGTGGAAATCTTGCTCGAACTGGTATGGTGGAATCAAGTAAAAATATAAAAGAATCTACTCGTATATTATGTAAGAGTCTTGATGATGCCATTAATCGTCATGAAAATATAACAAATAAAACATTGGAAGAATGGCGTAATACATTATCATTAATAGTGCCACAAGTCGAACAATTAACAAAACAGTTATCTCATATTGGTGAATATTTTGGTTCAAATGCCGTGCATTCAATACTGTTTCAAATAGAACAAGCATCAAAACATCCGGCTACATTAACTGTATTTATATTAATTTGTAGTCTGATATTTGCATTGATTATCTATATTCTATTACTAATCATTCAACAACCACAATTCTATTATTTAGTTTTATTAACTATTATCTCCATTGTTATAATAACTGGAAATTCTTATAAAGATGAGCTTATTTCTAAATTGAAAAAGGTGCTATTGGCGTACGTGTTGAAACATCATCGAGCTGAATTGAATTCAATGTTAGATATAAATAGTTCTATACCAATACCATCAAATTTTGAAGAAGAAAAAAAATTAGGTGTATGGCGTGAGGTTTTATTTATTGACACTTCTCCAGCATCATTTGATGATCGTTCAAAAAGAATAGATATATGTGCCAATCTTGTGTATATAAATCAATCCCAACTTGGTTTCATTCATGAAATTAGATTAGAAGATTTAGTATGTATGGTTAATAAAAGTCAATCAAAATTTTGGGAACACCCTGTGCACATTATTGAATATACAACAGAAATGATTTACATGAATTCCAATGACAATGATGAATGGATGCGAATTGGAACGGGTGAAGAAGTTGTTCGAAGAGCAGCACAAATAAATTCGATTTATGATAATAAAAGATTGGCTATAATAATTGAAGCTAGTTTATGTGTTATTGTTCAAGAACTAGCGCAGGAAAAAATCGAAAAAGAGCTAGATGTCTCAATTGTCTACAAAAAATGGCAATAGGATGATTTTTTCTATATATAGTTGTATTTTTCTTCTTTCTAACAGTGAGCAATTTTTGAACATTTTTTGTAACTTCTGATTTCAATGATTTGTCGATAAACAAATGTTAAACAAGAAGATAGTATGCGTTCTGCACACATTTTCAAGGGGCCTGTAACGTAAATTAAACCTAACATTCTAAGTAAAAATAATGAGCGATCGAAGATTCAGACTTCGATCTGATCGAGCCAGTTCGGGATTTCCAGTTTAAGTCGGTCTCAAAGATCATGAGACCCTGTAGACTGAGCCAGCCTATTAGTTGAAGATCACGAAATAACTTTTAAGAACAGCTGGAAACATGCGGTAAATAAATTTTCTTCTTAAACCCATATTTCTTGCGTAAGACTAGTTGAATCGGTCCGTTAAAAGATCGGCTAACATATTTATGAGTTTTCTATTCAATATCGGATTCGATAACCTAGTGGTCGATCTCATATTCTGGATTAGGGCTAGATTAGCTGGTAAATGATTCATTTATCTAAATTATACTCTTGTTTGTTTTCTTTAAATTATAAATTGTTTTGTAATGTTTTGTATTCGACGACATATATACTGGAATTCTGCTAATGAATATTCTGCTGATAAATAAAAATGATGTTTTTGAAATAATGTTTTCCATTAAATGATGAATTAATACGTTCATTACAGTTGAAAAAAGAGTAGAGAATATCGATTATTATCATATGATCAAATATTTTTATCAAAATAAATTCTGGTAACTGATTGAAATCATTCATTTTAAAATTGAAAGTAAAAATGTTCAAATGAGATAAATACTAGTGTCATTTTTAGATAACTTCCTGATTTCGTCTGTGTCATTTTACATGGTGATCAAGAACTTTCGAATATGATACCTTGGAATAAGTTTGTTATCAAGTCAAGAAGTTACAATATTTTTTCAAACGCTGAATACGATAAGAGTTCCAGCCCGATGATCTCTTGAATCATGACTGTACAAAAGGTTTTTTTTCGAAAGCTGTTTTTGATTTTCGTTTAAAAAGATATATTCCAAGTTATGGGAAGTGAAATTGAACTAAAAGGAATCGAAGAGAAAGTCAAATATCTGTATGATGAAAAAATATGATGGTAAATAGAAACTTGTATTCGTTTTTATACTAAGGATCTTAACGTGTCGTCTAAATATCAGTTTCTTAATAGACTTACTTTTACTTGACTTTTAGCTATTGCAACACTCAAATGAAAAAGTGGAAGAAGAACGTGAATAAATGTAACATGTTGCTGAACGTATTTTGTCAAAGGTTTATATTAACGAATTCTTTTTTTTTTCTATAAATCATGTGCTAGCAAAAACTCGTGTTCTGCTAGTTCCTCGTCTTTCGTTGAATTCATCAGTGGTTGATTCACTATCTTTCTTGAATCAGTAGATCAACATAATGATTCGATTGATGTATTTACCGTGAATTGCGTGTCATGAATCATAAAGTTTCACGCACAATTCGATTTTCTCCTTAATATATTTTTTTAATGATTAGAACATCATTAAATCATTTTAGAAAACAGTAGGTTATTCCTGTACTTGTTTTTTTTGACCTAAACAGGCTTTTGTCTTCAATAATAAAATTTACTCTCTATTATGGGCTATTACCATTTATTACAACAATAAATCTTTAAATTAAACTAAATTTTGGTATTTTACTAAATAATGCCAAGTGATATAAAACAAAAATTGAAAAGATCATATTGAAAAAGGAGACAGATGTGATTCCTACATATAAAAATTCATTAGTTTTTGTATCAAGCGCATCTATTTCGCCTTGGCAAAATATAAAAATGATTTAGAAAATCAGGTATATTATTTTGTTTAAAAGACTGCCTTATATCTGAGTAGAACATAGAGTTGGGCTTCTTTACCAAAGTCTGATGACAGTCAAACGTAGGCGTCATATTGAAAGGGAAGAATTGCTGTTTCGGGCGAAAATGAGGAAAATTGTTGAAAATTCAACTGTCTCTTTTCTCTCTATTACATAACGGATGCGTTATAAAGAATGGTAATCTGAATATTTTAAATTTTCTCCTCTTTCTTCGACTAAAACAAGCCTATTTTTCCATCAAAAGATTCCCCGTTTAAATCTCTGTAAAAATGTATTGTCCTGTTTTACTGTGAAATCCGAAGGTGAAAAATGGCATGAGAGTTTGTGACAAGTATCAATATGGATAACAAAATAAGTTAATACACAGTTAGTTTTGTTTTATTCGCTAAATGTTTGTGAGAGAAAAAAACTGAAGTAGCCGCCATGTAGGCTTGAAAAGCTCTATCTTCCATCTATAATTAAAAGTTTTTATAGTGAGAACTGTAGATGCATTAATTTTGATATTTTTCTCTAAATTTCCGAAAAATGAGCCTATTTTACCAGCTAGTTTTGGCGTTTGATTAAAGAATCTTAGTTTACATCAACTTCATCAAAAAGCTCTTTCAAATCGAATTTTGAAGGGAGCTGAGCCTATATTGTCGAATCCAAGACTATCTGCATCTAATATATGCGTACGATGATCACGTGTTCGTCAAACGATGTATTTACTCTCACGAGGTAACCGCCCCAAGTGTTCTCGAGTTTTATCGTCGAAACAAACACAGGCATAGGTTATCGCTGATGCTGATCATAGTCGGAGTGGCATACGGGTCCTTGGAGATCAGTTTTTCAGATACTCTAAAAAATAACCAAAACTTTTCTTAATGAGGCAGGATTGTTGCCCTCAAATTTCTGATTAAAATGAGACATCTCCCAGCTCTACACAACCTTTCTTGGCAAAGTTATACAATTTACAAGAAAAGCCATAAATGAATTTCTTATTTCTGTAGCTTTGAGCTGACAATGAACATTTAGGGCTCGTCTTGTAAATTCTATAACTTTCCCAAGAAAGGTTGTGTAGAGCTGGGAGATGTCTCATTTTAATCAAAAATTTGCGGTCTACAATCGTGCCTCATTAAGAAAGGTTTTGGTTATTTTTTAGAGTTTCTGAAAAACTGAGAAAATCGGGTCTCCAAGGGCCTGTATGCCATTCCGACTATGATATTCGAAATCAGCATCAGCGATAACCTATGCCTGTGTGTGTTACGACGATAAAACTCGAGAACACTTGGAGCGGTTCCCTCGTCAGTCTTTATTGAACCGGTTGAAACAGAGGGCGAAAGCAAATCTTTGTACAGATGTAACCAACCGCTTCAATCTATAAAATGTAAAACACTGATGATGATCTTCAAAAAATATTTTGCTTTAAGTTAGGTTTCGGACAGTTTTGCCGTTTTATTTTTAAGATTAATCTGGACTATCGTCTGCACGACATCTTAATTTTTCGACTGTAAACACGATTTTTGAAGTGTGAATAACGTTTCGTGTGTGTGTATCACGATTATGTATCCCACCTTTCTTTCATTCTATGAATATCTTCTATTCTTTTCTTTTTTTACTATAATCAAAAAAGAAGCCGTACTAAAGAAGCATCTTGCTATTGTCAATGCACAAAAAAGTTATTTGTATATAATCTTAATAATCAGATCTTTAAATATCTAACAATAAACAAGTGCAATGTTATTCTTTTTTCGAACACGTTGATGTTTTAAAATTCGATTTTATTTTTATCAGTATGTGTGTATCTATTCTAAACAATTGAAGTACATGCACATACACACATATATCTTCGTTTTATAAGTTTTCTTATAATTACTTTCTCTCGGAAGAGTAATCGACATAGGATAGAGGCTGCAGTACTTGATCCTTTGAAAAAATGTTATCCTGATGGTGATATAGAAGAAATTCCTTCATCAATAAAAGCGTTTAATGTTGATTTGACGTTCACTAATAGAGAGAACATCATACTGCTTTTATTTTCTTCTCTGCTGGTTCAACTGTAAAGGTGGTATTAACTGTGAAAAAAATTAATCACAGACATAATCACACTGTGATACAAATGACTTCCATCTAAATACACATTCAAAAAAAAATCAGTTTATTTTGATCGCTATTGAATATCCTTGGAATGTACAGCATATATTGTGTGATGTAACATATCAGAGTTCTGTCATGAGCGAAGAAATAAAACTATGGTCTCATGAGACACATTATTGTTTTACTTGAGCATTATTACTAAGAATATAAAAAAAAAAAAAAAAATTATGTAAACTACTCTTGCTCAATGAATCGCAAAGAAAAACTAGTTTCCGGAGAACAAAAACAAGATTGACTATACATGAACAATATTTGATTGATCAATATTCTTAATGGCGCATGACTATCTTGCAAATGAAGAAAAAATAAAATAGATGATGACAAATTATTTATGTATTACATCATAATAAAGCACACACTTATCTCATATATCGATTACATTTAATGAACTTGGAATTTGTTACAACAATAGCTATCAATGCTCTTTTCAATGCATTCGACAGAGTTATTTAATAATACAATAGTCTAAATAGAAACAAAATATACCGTCTTGTATAAAGAAATTCTTTTCTCACTGAAACATTTTGTTCATATTCAAGATACAAACATTGTTTTGAAAAAGAAAAACGTAATTGAATATATATAAATATACGAACTCTAACGAAAAAGATATACTGACAATGTTGCTTTTCTTTATTCATCATATTTATCGCAACGTACGAGAGATATCAACAGTGTATATACCCTTCTACTACTAAGTATGAATAGAAAAGAAGTACTCAATATATATATATGTATTTTTCTCGTCTTTCTCCTAAAAAAAAATAATTTATTCTCTTCTCTGCTTTTGAACATAAAGGTTTTATTTTAGTTATAAAATAAGATTCTATTTTAGTTTCGACAATTGTCTACCACATTAAATATAATTAAAGGTATGTGTTAGAGTCATGTGTTTTGAGTTTTAATTTGAGAATTTTTATGAAATTGTATTCCAGTAGAGTACACTACGAAATTTTTTTTCTCATACGCAGATTTTTTTTCTTCTTCTTCTCC